GATTTGGGGAAAAAACGGGGGAAAACGGTGAAAAAACGGTGAAAAAATGAGCGAAAACGGGCAAAAAATGGGAATAAAACCAGAGGGGAGCACGAGTTCTGGCTGGAATTCCGGGAAACGGAAACAGCCAAGAGCGTCACCTGCACCGTGAGTGGGGAACGGGGCGAGAAACGGGGATTTGGGGAAAAAACGGGGAAAAACGGTGAAAAAATGAGCAAAAACGGGCAAAAAATGAGTGAAAACGGGCAAAAAATGGGAATAAAACCAGAGGGGAGCACGACTTCCGGCTGGAATTCCGGGAAACGGGAATGGCCAAGAGCGTCACCTGCACCGTGAGTGGGGAACGGGGCGAGAAACGGGGATTTGGGGGAAAAACTGTGAAAAAATGAGTTAAAATGGCAAAAAAATGAGCAAAAACGGGCAAAAAATGGGAATAAAACCAGAGGGGAGCACGACTTCCAGCTGGAATTCGGGAAACCGGCACGGCCAAGAGCGTCACCTGCACCGTGAGTGGGGAACGGGGCGAGAAACGGGGATTTGGGGAAAAAACTGTGAAAAAATGAGTTAAAATGGCGAAAAAATGAGCAAAAACGGGCAAAAAATGGGAATAAAACCAGAGGGGAGCACAACTTCCGGCTGGAATTCCGGGAAACGGGAACGGCCAAGAGCGTCACCTGCACCGTGAGTGGGGAACGGGGTGAGGAACGGGGATTTGGGGAAAAAACGGGGGAAAACGGTGAAAAAATGAGCGAAAACGGGCAAAAAATGAGCGAAAACGGGCAAAAAATGGGAATAAAACCAGAGGGGAGCACGACTTCCGGCTGGAATTCTGGGAAATGGGAATGGCCAAGAGCGTCACCTGCACCGTGAGTGGGGAACGGGGCGAGAAACGGGGATTTGGGGAAAAATGGGAGAAAATGGGGAAAAACGGGCAAAAAATGGGGAAAAACAGGCAAAAAAATGGGCAGAAATGGGGAAAAAATGGAGTAAAAATGAGAAATAACAGGGGAAGAACGAGCAAAAAAATTGGGGAAAAAATGGGATAAAAATGGGGGAAAATGGGATAAAAATGGGGGGAAATGGGAAAAAAATGGGGTAAAAATGGGATAAAATAGGGGAAAAGTGAGGGAAAAATGGGAATTAAAAGCAGGGGAGCGCGATTTCCAGCTGGAATTCCGGGAATTGGGAATGGCCAAGAGCGGCACCTGCAGCGTGAGAGAGAAATGGGGCAAAAAACGGGGATTTGGGGAAAAATGGGGAAAAAATGGGGGAAAACGGGCAAAAAATGGGGTATTTATGGAGTTTCTATTGATTCCTATGGGATTTTCTCATTTCCGGGCCGATTTTCGTGGGGTTTTTTTTGTTTATTTTTAATTTTGGTGCTATTTTCTCTTGCAGTACTCCCTCTCCCTGAACAAGCTGTTCTGGGGTGGTTTCTATGGGATTTCTATGGAGATTTATGGATTTCCATGGGGTTTTTATAGGATTTAATGAATTTCTATGGGATTTTTTCATTTCTGGGTCGATACCTATGGGATTGTCTCATTTCCGGGCTGATTTTCATGGGGTTTTTTTTGTTTATTTTTAATTTTGGTGTTATTTTCTCCCCCCAGTACTCACTGTCCCTGAACGAGCTGTTCTGGGGTGGTTTCTATGGGATTTCTATGGGGATTTATGGATTCCTATGGGGTTTCATGGATTTCTATGGGATTTTCTCATTTCCGGGCCGATTTTCGTGGGGTTTTTTTGTTTATTTTTAATTTTGGTGCTATTTTCTCTCCCCAGTACTCACTGTCCCTGAACGAGCTGTTCTGGGATGGTTTCTATAGGACTCCTATGGGGTGCAATGGATTCCTATGGGATTTTCTCATTTCCGGGCCGATTTTCGTGGGTTGTTTTTGTTTATTTTTAATTTTGGTGCTATTTTCTCCCGCAGTACTCCCCCTCCCTGAACAAGCTGTTCTGGGGTGGTTTCTATAGGATTCCTATGGAGATTTATGGATTTCCATGGGGTTTTTATAGGATTTAATGAATTTCTATGGGATTTTTTCATTTCTGGGTCGATACCTATGGGATTTTCTCATTTCCGGGCTGATTTTCGTGGGTTTTTTTTTGTTTATTTTTAATTTTAATGTTATTTTTTCTCCCCAGTTCTTGCCGTCCCTGAACAAGCTGTTCTGGGGTGGTTTCTGTGGGATTTCTATGGGGATTTATGGATTTCTATGGGGTTTCATGGATTCCTATGGGGTTTTCTCATTTCCGGGCCGATTTTCGTGGGGGTTTTTTTGTTTATTTTTAATTTTGGTGTTATTTTCTCTCTCCCCAGTACTTGTCATCCCTGAACGAGCTGTTCTGGGGTGGTTTCTATAGAACTCCTATGGGGTGCAATGGATTCCTATGGGGTTTTCTCATTTCCGGGCCGATTTTCATGGGGTTTTTTTCGTTTATTTTTAATTTTGGTGTTATTTTCTCCCCCCAGTACTCATTGTCCCTGAACGAGCTGTTCTGGGGTGGTTTCTGTGGGGTTTATATGGGGATTTATGGATTCCTATGGGGTTTCATGGATTCCTATGGGATTTTCTCATTTCCGGGCCAATTTTCATGGGGTTTTTTTATTTTTAATTTTAATGTTATTTTTTCTCCCCAGTACTCACCATCCCTGAATGAGCTGTTCTGGGGTGGTTTCTATAGGATTCCTATGGGGATTTATGGATTCCTATGGGATTTTCTCATTTCCGGGCCGATTTTCGTGGGGTTTTTTTCGTTTATTTTTAATTTTGGTGTTATTTTCTCCCCCCAGTACTCACTGTCCCTGAACGAGCTGTTCTGGGGTGGTTTCTATAGAATTCCTATGGGGATTTATGGATTTCTATGGGGTTTCATGGATTCCTATGGGATTTTCTCATTTCCGGGCCGATTTTCGTGGGGTTTTTTTTGTTTATTTTTAATTTTGGTGCTATTTTCTCTTGCAGTACTCCCCCTCCCTGAACAAGCTGTTCTGGGGTGGTTTCTGTGGGATTCCTATGGGGATTTATGGATTTCTATGGGGTTTCATTGATTCCTATGGGATTTTCTCATTTCCGGGCCGATTTTCGTGGGGTTTTTTTCGTTTATTTTTAATTTTGGTGCTATTTTCTCTCTCCCCAGTACTCCCCCTCCCTGAACAAGCTGTTCTGCCGGCTGGCCAAGCCCTGCCCGGTGCAGGTGCGGGTGGGGGTCCCGCCGCCCCCCGGGGCGCTGCTCCGCGCCGTCGCCGTCTACAAGAAAGCCGAGCACGTGGCCGAGGTGGTGCGGAGGTGCCCCCACCACGAGCGCTGCGGCCCCGACGGTCAGGGCACACGGGGAATTGGGGAAAATTGGGGG